CCAGTTACTTTGCACATCAACATAAATGAGAAACAAAACACAATATGAAGAGATTTGACCAGTCTGTGAAAGACAAAGAGGGTTCATGGGTGTATGTTTGCACCAGTTGTACAATGATATTTCACAACTGCTAAAAAGAAGTAGTTCCCCATCAATCTGCTTTTGGGGTTCCACTCTTGATTTGAATCAGTTGTCTATCTTCTAGACTAGTTGCCAGCCAAGTTACCCTGCCCTGTTTATTTACCTACATGTATAGCTCAAGGGAGAAGTGGATTCATGCCTTTCCCACAGGTATTTGTGAGAAATGAGCAAAACATAGCTTAGTTTGAACTCGATTCCCCAGCTCCATTTTCCATTCCCATAACTGGTACACTACTCTAGCTGTTCAGGTTACTCACTAAACAAAAAGAACATGCCTTATTTAGTTTCCAATTACTGTTCATGATCAAAGGACATTTATTTTAAATATGTCCATTTTAACAGTCAATTAGATCTGTTAAGTTACATAAACACATTCAACTTTATTAGACTTTAACATACAAATTCAAGCAACCATTTTAATATGCCAATTGTGGCCTGATGATCAAATTTGATCAACTTCATTTTATCATTTTTTGAATTAAGCAACTTAAAACAAGTTCAGGTTTGTTGAAATTAAATATCAAATCAATGGAACGGAGCCTTTCATTTTGTAAAATAAATAAAAATATTGAGTCATTTCATGTTTCTTTTATGATTTTACAATTTGAATAAATGTTTAAGAAACTATTATTTCTTGCCTGTTGATCAAAGGTTATAACTGTTTGACTAACAAAGCATTAAACTTTAGAATTTTCTTTCCTTGGCAGTGTTCATTTATGATGTTAAAAACTTTTTACAATTTAATTTCAAATCTGGCTGGGATTTTTCAAAGAAACTTTTTTCCTACTGTTTCAAACAATTTTTGTTAAACGGATATTTTGCTTATTTTTGTGCATTTCTTTTTTCATTGCAAAAGAATCCATTCCATTTAAATGACCTCCCAGAAAACCCTGATTCAAGAGTTGACATTTGAGTCACTTCATTACTTATTTCCAACTTATCACCTGACAGGAAATTTCTGCTTTTTAACAGTATCATTATGATGAACTGTATTCCAAATATGACAACACTGTATTTTACCATTATACTTCTCATTTAGCTTTTGTATTAAAATTTCACAGGCAATTATCATCTGGAATCACATTATTGTATTCCTAAATATAATTTAACTCGGACATATCAAATATCCTTTCCTTGTTACCTGAATTCTGAAGGTTTGTAATACCTGAGAGTAGAGAAACAGCTTTTGTGCAAAAGTAACAGGTGTGTGGTTGATTGATAATCTTTATATTAAATAATATTGTTTTTTATGTTGTTTTTTTTTTTTTTTTTTTTTGTCATGCTAAAGTAAACAGATATAAAATTAAGTGACTCCTGCCCTAATTTGAACCTCTGACCTAGAGGTCAAGCAAGCAATATATGAATAGCACAGCAAACTACTGCTGACATGAATAAAATTAGCTTTGGAATATTAATTTGATTAAAGCAGTTGTAATTATTTCAATGAGTCACATATAAGTTTTGAAAATATTCATTTAAAACAACAAAAATTAAATTTAACATCTTCTTTCTAATTTTATTACACATTAACAAAACTGTCATCATTTTAATGTTTAAAATCAATTCTTGTTTTGTTACTTTTACTGGAATATTTCTATCACAATTTTTTTTTAAATAACTTTTTCTTTTAATAATATTCAAGTGTCTTCAAAAACTGTCACTATTTCAATTTTCTTTTTTTTTTTTTTCAAAACTAAATGTAAAATTTTCTTTTAATTTTTATTACATTTACACAGGACAACAGATTAACCGAATTAGTCATATATTTTGTTTTGATTATTAAATATTTTTGGTGTGTTAAACTTAAAACTACTTAATTTTTTCTTACATTGATTTGAATGAAAGATGGAAGGAAAGAAACAGAATATAAAAATCAGCAAAAAGTATTTCAATCTTTTTAAATATTCAGCATGAAATACAAACAAAACAGACATAAAAAAAAATGCTATCATTTTTGACTGGTACTATTCTAGTATAGATATGTTGTTCTTTTTTTGTCTCTGAGATTGCTCTCTAACACAATTGGCACTAACATTGCCTTTTATGTGAACTGAATGCTTTGCCTTATATATTGATTCATACACTTTGAAAGCTTCTTTCTCTATTGATTTTGTTCTAAATAAATTATTTTTTTTAATTAATCTTTTATTTTATTTCTAAAAGCCCAAACTTTAGAGTGCACTAGTTTCTATTTCAATTAAAACTAAAAACGTCGATCCTGTCTGGCAATTTGCTATTGTAATATATTTTCTTTTTCGACTTATCAGAAGCAAGATGATGTATAAAAACACAGTTTCAGTTTTTGTTAGCCTGATGTCCAAAATGAACTACCTTACAGGGCTAACGGGTTCTAAGTTTCTTAATATTTACTCATAGAGTAGAGGAGAATAGAGTTTATGCCTTTCCCAAGAACTTTAATGCAAATCAACCATAAACAGTTTCAACATTGATCATTGATTCCATCATTTATATCTTTAACTACTCAGCTACCCACACCTCCACTCTGAATTTAGTCTGTCTAATATTTAAGTCCCCCAGGGCTGCAGGAAGCACTAGATCCAAATCCAGGGGCTCCTGTTAAAGTAACCCCTACCTGACTGGCCATGTCTACAGGGATGTAGATTTACCCACCACACTTTGCCAATTGCAGGTTGTTGAGGCTATTTAACCTATAGTTGTGGGGTTTGAATTCAGAGTAATTTTTCTCCTAAGTTGGTTGCCACCCAGGGCTATAGAGGCCCATTTGGTCCTGCTATTTGACCCATAGTTGGAAGGGGGTGGAGATGGATTCATATCTTTTTGGTGTATTTTTGGGTATTAGCATGTAATCCGAGCCACTAACCATTACTCCATCGTGCCTTGTTTAAGCAAAACAAAAATGTTCGATACAAAGTGTTATGACACAATAACATATGGTTATGTACTGATGAAATTTTTCAGTTACAGTTTGCATATTTTATATGCACAAGACTAACTTTTGTGTGAATTAGGTTATATAAGTCTGATTTAGTATAGATATCAGAAAGTACTTCAATAAACATTTTTTTTTATTTAGAGAATTGAAACTTACTTTTAAAATTGAAATACCTGATTTTAGTGAATGTTTAATTTTGAGAAAAATAACCTATAAAAGTAATGACTTATGGCCATATTGCTTTGAAAAAACAGTTTCTGTACAATCACTGAAGTTAAGCAATGTCTATCCTGGTCGGTAACTAGATGAATAACCACTTGGGAACACAAACTACTGTAAGCTTGAATCTGCAAGTGGTTTAATGGATGGGAATTGTTAATTGGGAAGACAAGTTCCAATTTCAGTTCGGTTTTTTATATTTATCTACATGCAAATACACTTGAGAAAGTATGAATCCACCTCTTCTGCCCCCAGCTATGGGTTAATTACTAAGACTTGTATCACTAAATAATTATCTCCCCACAAAAATTAAAAATTCTACAATCCAAAAATATTTTCTGGCTTTAAATAACCTGCAAAGTGTTGATAAGCCATAAAAAATCAAATCAATTGATCAATATAAAAGTCATGTCTACTGGAGTTGATCTTGAGAATATTTGGCTCATTCTAAAGTATTCTGCATAATAGAAGGATGACTGTGTTTTTCTCTCTGACTCTTCAATCAAATTAATAATGATGTAACATTTGAATTAACTCTAAGCTTCATTGATGTATTTATGGTAAACATTCTGTATTTGATATAAGGATAATAAAATTGTTTTATCACTGCATTGTAAGAGGCATCCAACCAAAATGAATCTTGATTTGTCTTCTGTAATGACAATTTCAATTTTAGATGCCAGTTTGAACTACGTTGATACCTCAGCTTAAGTTGTTTTGGGTTAACTCATTCTTGAAGATACATTGGTTTTTCTTAAATATTATTTGGAAAAACAAAACTCACCTTAGGTCATTTTACTTGAGCTTACATTGGTCATTAAAAATATTAGATACATCAAAACACTAAAATAACAATAAACACATATAAAATCATATTTAAATAAATTTAAAAATAACAATATGTATACTACACATACACAAATACACACGCGCACAGATATATATATATATATATATATATGAAGAAATATATCTTAAGGTGTGCTATATTTATGAGATAAAGTGCTCAATATCAGAAATAGAGCGTGTGTAAATATAAAAGTGAACATTGAAGTCAACACTTAGAGGTGACAGACTGTTTCATGCTAGACTCAATCGTCTTGGCCTGATGATTGCATCTAGCATGAAACAGCCTGCCGCCTCTAAGTGTTGACTTCAATGTTCATTATATATATATATATATATATATATATATATATATAAAAAATCATCATCAAAACAAAAAAAAATAGCATAAATTATGTTCAGCAGTTTTTATTCTTTCAAATTTCTGCCGACAGGCAGGCCTCATGCATTGTTTTCCTCTGCAACATTGATTTTGAATTCACACTTGTTTATATCTGTGCTCTGCTGTTAATGTTCTTTCTATTATATTTCAATTGTGATTTATAATACATTTTTGCCCATGTCTCTGAAGAAAAGTCCCAGTGCAAGGATTAATGCTAAGCATAAGGCTATATCGCTGGAAGATAAAGTGGAAATCAGGAATACTGTACTTACATATCATAAATACTATTGGGAGTGCTTATTTGCAGTTTATAGTATAGTTATTGTGACTTAAGTCATTTTTCAACCTAAGTCATGACCTCTGGAACCAATTAATGACATAGGGTGAGGTATACCTGTATTTAATGTACTTGTTGATTTCTTTGATAGAGGATGCTTCTGGTAAAAGAAATCCCTAATTCTCCTGTAAATTATACTCCATCTTTTGCTTTCTCCACAGGACACAGCTGGTCAAGAACGGTATAGGACCATCACAACGGCCTACTACAGAGGTGCTATGGGATTTATACTAATGTATGATGTGACAAATGAAGAATCTTTCAATGCTGTGCAAGACTGGTAGGTTCCTCTTCATATCTCCATTGTTATGTTTCCTCTTTATTTCCCAATGATGTGTTTCCGTTTTTATTTTGCTGCTGATGGTAAACTTTTCATCTTGGTGAAACCATTCTCTTACATTTGAATTGTGAATTTTACAAGGATGAAGATTAATCCATTGCTAACAGAACAAGATTTTTAACATTGGTGTTTGCACTTTTTTTTTTTTTTTTACTAAATTTCACATAGTACATGGCTCGAGAGCTACTCAAGGTAGTGTTACTGTTAAAATGGTTCTGATGAAGGAGGCATGAGATATGAATGAATGAGAAGGTAGGATAAGGTGGATACATAACAATTAAATTTTGACATGACAATGTTAAGATTAAAGTCTCTTGGGAAGCACTCATGCAGTAGAATTTCCTTCAGTTAGTCTGATAATTACATAAGTTTTATAATTCTATAAATGCAGTAACCTTTTCCTGTAAAGCGAGAATGGAAATAAATTAGAATAGTTACTATCAATGGCTTGTGGGAGCAGCACACTGAACACTATACTACAAATGAAAAAGTGTATTCTATATTTCTAGCACATTAAAACACCCCAATTTGATGCACCTCCATTTATCATGAACTTGATTATAATGAAATGGGTCAGTGATTACGTTCTAATGGTGGACTATGCTGTATATATGTAAGGGAGAAAAAAATGTTCAGTGATTCATGACCCAGTGTGAACTGAAAGCAGATTTTCTTGATTTAGCACCATCAATTTTTTTTTCATGATAACATTTTAAGGACGTTAGCAATCATGCTATAATGAAGTCATACTGTATAAAGTCTTATTGCAATTTTCATCTGAAAGTGTCATTTAATGTATAGACTAAAGGCTACTTAGATTTTTAATAAAACTCAAATATTCATTTTTCTCTAAATATCATTGCTTATTTTAAAATTTACATGATTATATGAAGTAATTTGTGAAATTTACATGATTATATAAAGTAATTTGTGAAATTTACACGATTTCTAAATTTATTACTTGAAAAAAAACCCTTGTCTTTTCTTTATTTTATAGCAGATGCAAAACATTCTAATTATTTTGATCCTTACTCTTCTTCATGTCAAGCAAGAAGCAAATTGATTTAGATAAAAAAAAATCTCTTCCTGATCTTAATCTCTCACTAACTTTTTCTCAGTCAATATGTCCATTGTTTCTTTTTCCTTCTCCTTCTCCATCTCCTACTCTCTTTAACTTTCTCCTCCTCATCTCCCGCTTTCTCTTTCTCATCTCCCTCTTTCTCTTTCTCATCTCACGCTTTCTCCTCCTCATCTCTCTAATTATCTTTTTTGTCTTACTCATCTCTCTCTTGTCCTCTTAGTCTCACTCAACTCTCTCTTATCTTCTTCATCACACTAGTCTCTCTTATTCTCATTCATCTCTCTTATTGTCTTCTTCTCACTCGTCTCTCTCTCTCTTCTTCTCACTCGTCTCTCTCTCTCTTCTTCTCACTCATCTCTCTCTCTCTTCTTCTCACTCGTCTCTCCTCCTCTTTCCTCCTCACTCATCTCTCAGACTTTCTAAACTCCGTCTCTCTTCCTCACACATCTCTCCCTGTCTCTCTTCCTCACACATCTCTCCCTGTCTCTCTTCCTCACACATCTCTCCCTGTCTCTCTTCCTCACACATCTCTCCCTGTCTCTCTTCCTCACACATCTCTCCCTGTCTCTCTTCCTCACACATCTCTCTCTGTCTCTCCTCCTCACACCTCTCTCCCTGTCTCTCCTCAAAACGTCTCCCCTCTCTTCCCTCCTCACTTGTCTCTCTTTCCTCCTTACTTTTCTCTCTCTCTCTCATGTCTTTCCCTCTCTTTCCTCCTCAATTGTTTCTCTCTTTATTTCTACTCCTCATTCTCATCATCATCACTTAGTTTTCTATTTCTCTCTTTCTCCTCCTAGTCATTATTACTTGGCTTTCTCTTTCTCCTCCCCCTCCTCTTTTCTGGGATCCTTTTTTATACCTACCAAAACATTGAGGTACCTATTTCTAGGAATGCTCCTCATTGATAATATCATAGATCATTTTTCCTCATGGCTGATGATTTGATTTGACAAGCCTGAAGGAGATTACAAAAAATTCTGATCAAATTCTTTTGATAGAAACAAATATGAAAGGGAATGGCTATTCTTAGCAAATGTTTAGAGGCGCAAGTAAAATTCAAGTTTCATTTCCAAAAGCATTTTACTTTATCCTGTTTTTTTTTTGTTTTTTTTTTACCTTGTATTTTTTTGGTTTTTTGAAATCTCAAGAATAGTTTGTCATAAGATTTTTCTATGGAAGAACATTATTATTGACTTCCATAGTCTGCATGATTTGTTTTCTAGTTTTCCTATATTTTTAGCATAGAAACACTTATAAAATTAAAATCTTGTAATCTTTCTTAAAGCCAGTATTTATTACTAGCATGCTTAAGTTCTACCAGTCTCACCACTCATTAAAAAGTTCAAGTGATAGCAATTAAAAATAAAATAAAACCCAATAATAATAACTACTTCTATTGTGGCCATTTCTTGTGTACAAATCGGCTGAAGTAATCATGTAGAAAAAAAAGCAACTACTTTATTGTAGTTGCTTTTTTTTGTACCAAATTGGTCGGCAGAAGATACAACTTCTTTATCAGATGAGAAATATACCAACTGCACTGAGTTATAAAAAACAAAACAAAGTCAATTGAAACCTTACCACATAAAATCAATTGTTTACTCACTTGACACAGTCAAATTTTACAAATATTGAAATCATTTATATGAAATGAGGTTGTAGGCATTACCTTACAAAATCTTACATTTCTTAAGTTCCACTACCACCATTCATCCTCTTTCTCTTACTTCCCCTCTCCCTCCCACCACTGATTTGTTTAATGCTGCTACTTCGCTCAAATACAATCTAAACAGAAATGAAAGGATCTCAAATAATCAGATTATTTTAACAGTTAATTGTGATTGTTTTGAGGTTGTAATCCCCAACTCACCATGAACAAGAAATCATCTTTACAAAAACAGCAACAATAATCACCACTCCTATCTCTCCTCCCCCTGCCCCCACAAAACAGAGTGTCAGATGACCTTCACCCTTGATCAATATACTGTGGATACATGGCATAGAAATTGATTCTCTATATAAAGTTACTTTCCAAACTGTCCTCCATTTTAAATCACTTATTACCTGTTTCTGTCTTTATAGAAGAACATTTTCATAGCATTTGTTTAGTTAAAAACAATGAGAACAGACAATCTTTTGTTTTAATACAGTTATTTACTTGGCTACATTGTTTCAAGAGAAGAACCTGTTTGCTGATAAAATAAGTATTTGGAACTTGGTATATTAGTAAGGAAAAAAATCAATAATCTTTTGATGTTCATCTCCCTGACTGAAACCATAAACTTTGTCAATTCTTTAATCAAATATTTGGTAGGGATATATTTAGCTAAGCTGGTGTTCATGACGTTAAACCATAAATAATCAGAAGTTTTAAGTTTCAAAAATTTAATTTTCACTTGTTTTGTCTTTCAAATATTATTGTTTCTTTTAATTATTTAAAGCAATATTAAATTATTGGTGAGATTGTTTCAAATGAAAATGTTTTTTATTAATTTAATTTTAAGTATTTTAAATTTAAAACATATATCAAAATGGAAGGTTGCAAAAAATAGCCCCAAGAAATAAGATCTAAAATTGAAAATTTGTTAGACATAATCAAGAACAGATCATATGGTATAAAAGAATTTTTATTCAAATTTTAAGTAATTCAAAAACCTTTCAGTATCCTTTAAAACAAATACAAGCTTTTGAAACAGGTCGCAATCAGTCAATTCAAAAATGCCAACTCATCTTCATAAGCTACATCTAGCAAATCCCTTTAGACAAAAAGATAAGCAAAGAAATGACTCAAGATCAAAAGACAACTGAAATGGTAGATCCTTTTAGTCATTACTTTTTCTCCTATAAATTGTAATGACCTTAACTAAAATTTCAAATGCTAAATGATATGTCCCAGAAAGGGATGTATTTGTTTGAAGTAGCAAAGTGGTTTTGGACTACTGTAACTAGGTAGGACAATCTAGCAGGTAACCATAATGGACTGGTCTTCGGCGTAGTGGTAGGCAATAGGCGAAGACAATAGATGTAGCCAATAGGCGTCGTCCCTCAGACATCAGTCTGTATTTATGGCTGACACCAGCCAATCATATTACTGTGAGGGGAAACCCAGGTGTATGCATATTCATTACATCACTAAAACTGTTTACAATGGACAAATAGAGCAAAAGCATACATAACTTATTCAAACTTCAGCATACAAGATCTTTATTATAAAAATGTAAATAAATTGTTCCGTTTAATTTTAACATAATTATTGGAAATTTACTATATTATTTGTGACTACAGCTAATTACCCACACTACTATAATATTATTTATTGATTGACTTTTACTTTGCCTAAACAATATTTAGATTTTGAATATCAGGAATTGTTACAAAATTATTATATTTTTAGTGAACTTCATAGGAAACTATTTTGAAAGCTGTTGTTACCCAGTTTTAAAATGATTGTCAATTGCACTGAATTTGTTTCTGACCTCAGCAACATTTTTTTTATTTTTGGTTGAATGAGCAGAAACAGTTTCAAAACTATTTTTTTTTTTTAATCTTGTGAAGAAATTTAATTTTATTGTAAAGAGGTCCATTTCAAAGTGTGATATTATGCATCTCAGAAGAGAATCCCAATTCAATTTCATTGATATTTTTCTAATTTAAAACAAGACAATTGGACTTACATTTCTTCCCTCCTTCCTTGATTATTCTTTTAAATTTACCTTTTCTTTTTTCTCTTCTCTTTTTATAATGTTTTTTATTTTCTCTCTCGACATAGATTTTTTACCTTTCTTTATTCCGTACACTTTTTTTGTCCTCTTTGGAAATCAGTCTAGCAACATATTTAATTTTTGTTTTTCCTCCCCCTTCAATATATATTCATTTCTTGCTGTCACTTAGAATTGTGCTTCATGGTAGTTTGAATTCTGTTGCAGAAAGTTCATTTGCGGAGGTGGAGATCAACACACTGTGAAAAAAGAAAATCAATACCTTCTGTTTAGAGAAAAGATTGGGAGGAAGAAAGCAGCAGCAGTCAGTTCTTTCTGATAAAAGATTGTGGGCAGGCGACTGTGTAGACGTTTTTTTTTTGTTTTTTTTTTTTCCTTCAGTCGTTGAAATCCATTTTCTCTTCCAACAAAGTAAATCTTGATCTCCTCCTGTCCAGAACATCTGTACCTATACACGTCCACAACTCAGTCCTGAATAATATAGGCTTATTGATTTTGTTAAACGAATTCAAATCAAAATAGATCAGCTGACTCCATCATTCCTACTACAACTACTATGACTGCTACCGCTACTCTCATTATCATTACCACTGTTCACAATTATTGTTTCTTTTTCAGTTTTACTCCAACAATTATTTTCGACTTTATTATCCAAACCAGTTCTGCATCCTCATCAATACTGTTTCGATTTTTTGCTCACAATAATTGACCCAACAAAATCATTGTTATTGTCACTGCCACATTACAGTTTTTCAGAAAAAATCTTCCGAAGAGGAAAGAGTTTTCACATCATTGCAAAGCATTTTCAAATTTAAATTCATTCATGTTGATATCACAATCACCATTACTGTTATACTCTATAAATATTTTATAAGTGTATAAATATAGTGCTAACAAAAATAAGGGAGCATTTAACATTTGTCTATAAACACTTGTTTGTCAGAAAGGTGTATTCTTGCTATTATTCAATTTATGGATCTTATGACTATGCTCATTCCTTTTTAACTGCAATTACACTTTAGACATTATTATAAATTTGCAGAAATTACATGTTCAATATGATTTGTATTGCTGCAGAAGCTGTTATCACAATTGCTGCTGCACTTACTACCAAGGCTTCAATCTCTTTCTTCTATTTCATTCTCACATACCACATTAACCATTGATTTCTTTTCTTCCTTCTTCTCCTAGAATTCTATTCTTAGATATAATGTTGGGAGGGGGACAACATTTTTATTTTACATCAGCAAATAATTACTTCCTTCTTAGGATTAACAATTATCAAATATACAAATGCAAGAAAAGAAATTGCTAAAATAATTTTTCACTACACAGAATTTTTTTCTCTCCAAAAATTTTTTTCTCTCCAAAAAAAAAAAAAATTGTTGAAATTCAAGCCTATAAATTGTCATTTTTTTTTTTCTACTTAGGTTTTTTTTCCCAGGTTATCATTTGTAATAAGTAAAAGTAAACGTTTAATTTACATAAAGCAAAACTTTCAAAACCCAGTTTGTGGAATTGTTTTGTTTTTTTTTTTTGTTTTTTTCACACACTGACTCAAAGCATGAGTTGTAATTTTTAGTTTAAATAGGATTTGGAATTCTCTCTGTAGACATCAAAGGAAAAGAAAAAGAAAATCTTTAATTTAGGATAAGATTAATTGAAGAATGTAAAAATATATATGCCGCTTTGGAAAGACCTGAATCCCTCTCTTTTGCCAAATTATCTGAGGTAAGTAGCAGTTCAGGCTAGCTTCTCTAACCATGGATGCTAACCAGTCTAGGAGAAGGAAAACTGTGAATTTAAACCAGTGCAAAGAAGTGCAATAATAATTTAGCCATTCACTACAACTCATCTTTTAAAAGCCATCTTTAACCTCACCTTGCAGTTGGATCCAGGAGAGATGAGAGGGTGAATCTCAACCTGTGCAACACCATTACTAACCTTCTTTAAAAAGAGGTTTTTAAAAAATCCACTCACACATGCCATTCCTTAATAAATGAACCATCATCATTCCTGGGATGGATAATGATGATATATATTATGTAATAATGATGATATATATTGTTTCACCAAAAAAAAAAAAAAATCGACAAGGGTATGTTCTGGAAGATATCACTTTTAAGGCAAGCAGTCTTTGCAATGATTATCCTTGATATCAAGTGAAAGAGTATAATCATAAATAAAATAAATTAAATCTGTTCATTTATCTTATGACTGTCTCTGAGTTTTATGGAATTGCAACCCCCTTGGATGTAAGTAAATTGTTAATCTAGTGAAAGTGTAGGAACATTATTATTATTATTATTATTATTAAAAAATAATAATAATGAATATCATAAAAAATAGAATAAAACAAATAGCATTAAAACTTTAGAATAAATTAAATAAACCAAAAAATAAAAAGTTCACCCAGCATGCCACAGAAACTTTTACTGCTGAAAAACAGACTTTGCACCAAAAGACGTTGAATTCATTGTCTTTGCCACTGACCATTGGAAAGTCAAAACATCCATCTCTTCTCTTCAAGACATTCCTTGTTATAATATGAAGTGACTTCTTCCTTTTATCACATGCAACCTTAAAACACTTGTAACTAAAATACACACACCAGTATACAAAAATAAATGAAATTGTGTGATTTTTAATTTACAATTTAACATGCTTATTTCTGCATATGTTTTTATTCCTGAGGATATTTCTGCTGGTATGATGTGAGTGTCCCCATAAAGGGTTTTATTTATTCTATTCTATTTAAATATAGTCAAGGTCTCGATTTATAGTTTGTTAGATATTAAACATATTTGACTTCTGTAAATATTTCTTAAGGATTTCTGATGGAGTAATGGATAGCCGCTCGGATTGAGGAATCACAGAGCCAAGTTTGAATTCCAGTCGAATCCATTACATTCACTTACGCACTAATACCCTTGGGAAAGGTATGAATCCTCTTCTTCTCCACCCAGCTAGACCAGGTTCTATAACCTTGGATGGCATCTGGTCTACTGCAGAAAGAAATGGCAAACTACTGCAGGAAAAATCTGCCTCATCAGTCATGTATTGAAAGATACATGATTGCCTATGTGTGTATCACGTATGGCACATAACTGACTATATCATGGTAATATTTAAAATCATTGTTGGATTAATGCAAGCATAATTACAGTTTATATTATTGGAGTTAGGTAAGTAAATAGATAAATAAAAATAAATGAATGAATTCGAATTAAATCAATAATCAGAAAACCTTTTACACGCTTTCCTAAACTGAACAGAATATTTGCTTACACATATCATTCACCTCAAAGTTACATTTATATTGAACTTTGGATTATATTAAAAATTATCTAATACATATGACCGAATAAATTCAAATAAGTTTGTTATAAAATAACATATATTAAGGAAATTATGATTTCTGAAAATGAATCCAATTTTTGAAAACTAATCCAATTACCATTGAGTGGATGTAATAATAGTTATGATGATATTGTCTCATTTAACTTTTGTTAATTTGCAAACATGAAATCTGAACTATGGATTAATAGCAGGGCAAACTGGGCTCACTAGACTTGATTGGCAACTGGTTTAGAAGAAAAATTCAGAATTTAAAATGGTGGTCAAACCACTCTAAATATCATGATATTGCATAATTTACAAATATTAAAGAAAACAAACATAATCAATTATGACTCCCAAAGATATGGCATTTGAGGAGTCAAGTTCGCCACAAGGTAATGATGATGTTGCTCTTAAATAGGTTCCCTATACAGATGGCCTTGAACCAGACTTGTACATAAACAGAACATCTGGCCATAATGTGATGGGAAATAGGCTTAACTTATTCACATAGTTGTATACTAAAGGAAAGACAAACAGTTGAAAATGTTCAGTATTTAGAATAACGATTAACAGTTTTATTTTCTATGTTGTAGTTAGATTGACAAAGGAAATTTTGCAAGTGACCATTAAATGGTATCAATTCAGCCTTACATATACAAAGTAGACTTTTCTCAATGTTACAAAAAAGGTTACTGAGAAATATGGTTGGCCATTTTGTAAAATAATCTCATAATAATAGTAACAATGGCCACAAGAGCCCAAATAAATAACACTTCAACATTGTTCTTTTCATATAATTATTATTTTATATTGATAGCTCATATGATCAGCAAAGTTATCTCCCTTTGAAATGAATAACTAATAATTGTTTGATATTGTTTCTTTATGAATAAATGAATTAATTTTTTTTTGGGGGGGTTGTGGAAATTTCTTTGCTTGTAGAGAACTTTAGCATTGGCACGATGCTACCAATTCATAATAAGCTACTCTGAATTTTCTACTCTTATATAATGTGTTCAGTACTTATTGGGTGCCCCACTCTTGTCAGATTTAGTTTATTGAACTCTGAGAAGCAAATGATTTTGTAAAGACATAGCATGTGAAGACTTTCAACACCAATTCTAAAAATGCAAACAAATGTTTATAAACGAGCAAGCAAATACTGAAAGAAATTTCTAAATACTTTCCCAGCTTTTATTTTCTTTGTCACTTTTGATTTTGTGATTTGAATTTCATTTGATTGCACCTGAGTTGTTTTCTTTTCATGATTATCTTTTTCTTTTTTTTTTTCTTTTTTTTTTATTGAAATTCCAATATTCACCATGGCTGAAACTTTTAAAAAATTCCAGATTTTATTATGTCCCATTCAAACGTCTCATCCTTCGGAACATTAATTCTTGATGAATTGATCTTTTATTTGTTTTCATCTCTTGCAGGTGCACACAGATCAAGACATACTCTTGGGATAATGCACAAGTAGTTTTAGTGGGCAACAAATGTGACTTGGAAGAAGAGCGTGTTGTGTCCACTGAACGAGGGAAACAATTGGCTGATCAGTTAGGTAAGTCACTCAAACCTCCATAAGTGATCTTTATAACTCGCAGAGATTATGCTGTAAATAACTGTTATATTCTGTGCTAATAGGAATATATACTTGAAGAACGTGGTGGATAAAATAAGTAAAGGTTTATTATAAAAACCACTACAATAAAAATAAAGGTAACAGTTATGCACAAGGTCATTGCAGGTCAATCCAGTAGTGAGTGCTACTATTGGAAGGTTGGTAGTTCTCGCATAAATCTGAGTCGTACTCAGCAGATCACAGCTAGACTCTGTAGTCTGATACTTATAGGTAGTTACTACCTATAGTGTAGTTACTCATGGGGGTGACAGGTTATTCCATTACATCAATAATATATATTCATTTGTTAAATAAGCTACCTTTTGCCAAGGCAAGTGTTGAAATTTATCTCAACTTTAAATATTCCAAATTTCCTATTTCATGTACATCAAGGGAGGTGCTGGTGAACCATCAGTGGCATAGAGGCTAGAATTGGCAAGCCAAATTCAAATGATAACATTTTGTACTAATACTCTTAGGAAAGGCATGAATCCACTTCTCTATGCCAGCTAAGGATAAATAATAGAACAGTCCATCTTTAGTATCGGGCCTCATCAAAAATTTACAACTGCTACAATGATTGAGTCACTATAGATTGTTGAGAAACGAAGATAACGTTTATGGCTTCAGGTATCATGTATTAGAAACTCATAGCATTTCTACACTTCTTCCTTTAAAGTTACAATTAATCATCAATTGTCACTTTAACTTTTCATATATACAGATGGCAGTAAAATATTATAAGTGGAGTTAATTTACCAAATGTAGTATAAATTAACTGGCCAATGTTATTTTTGTCACTAAGTTAATAGTATTAATAGAAAAAGTACATGATTTGCTGTTCAGTGGTTGAAAGCATCGCTTGCTTTATTTCAATGTAGAAATGAGAAAGAAAAGAAGTTGAGTAAAGAACAAATCTTTTAAATTATCTGGCCACTTTGAACCACCCCAAAATACAGAGAGAAATTGATGACAAATTTTTACTTTTTTAATCCACATCAGCACATGGTGATGTGTCCTAAGTTGATCACATGATTCACAACATATCCTCTTTGATAGCTCCATATTAACAAATATAAAAGAGTTTATTAGAATATCTACAACAAAAAAAGGAGTTGAAAATATCTATAGATTCCATAATTAATTTGTCAGCTTTGGTACTTTATTGATTCATTATTACATTTTTCCATTTTTTTTATCTCTTTAAGTTGGAGAGTAGGAATAAAATTTCCTCTTTTTTCCAGGCATCATAGACATGTTTTGTAACTATATATTTGGAAACTTAAGTTGCTATTTGGATCCTAATTTGTAACAGCTTTTATTGGCTTTAAAGACAGTTAAAAATTCTGGCACATATAATCAGAAAAGAGGTCTTGAAGAATTTGGCTCTCACAAGACATACTGAAGGCAAGAGTGGCAGAGGGAAACATCAAAACCTATCTAGCAGGCTTGTGTAAATGGATGGCAGAACAGGGAATGCAAGGGCTAGTAAAAAAACAAATATTGCTAAGTGCTACAAAGGACAGGAAGATGTGGAGAGCCATGACAATCTGTAGTGAATATGTGCTACAAGTTCAAAATGGATGAGGCTTGCTGTTAGTCACCAGTTTGTTATGGCTTAGGTGAAAAACTTTAAAAGTAAATGATTTCAATATTTTCAAAAGAAAGGAATTTCAATGTTGAGGAATAAATATATTTTTAAGACATTTTTATGTTTATACGTTCTTTTCATAGATACAAATATTTAAGTAAATGCTCTGTTTATAATAAACAGTATTAACAACATTTACCGGCCTGAATTTTCATAGAAAATATGTGAAGGACGCATATTTTCTATGAAACTCTCTCAGACATTCAGAGCATTTAAACAGAGCATTTACTTAAATATTTGTATCTATAAAAAGAACGTATAAACATAAAAAATGTCTTAAAAAAATAATTGTCAGACTTTGTCCATTTCACAATGTGTGATTATATATATATATAAAGAAAGAAATATTTGTGGGTGTACAGATTTATCAGCTTTGCTGCTGGAAAATGTGTGCTTTATGTTGCCCCAAGTGGCAGTTTGAAGCTTAGCAGTTGGCTTCTTAGGGAAAGTAATTTCCCTAGAATTGAGAAGGCACATTTTTTACCTACCACATTCTAGAGTCGAAAAGAGAAAGATTGGGGTTTATATCCCTCTCAGTATAGTCCTGAATAGTGCCACCTCACAAGTATCTTGATAGGCAAGATGGAGGTGGCCCCCACAGTATATATACATCCCAGCATATAAAAGAAGATTGCAACTGATCATTTAGTCACTTGAAAGATATTTTAGAAAAAGTCGAACAAAAAATTGTTTTTTTTCAAGATTTAACTAATTCCAGTTGTTTTTTTGTTTTTTTTTAATTATTGTTAATTTTATTTTTATTGTTTTTTAGGTTTGGAATTCTTTGAAACGTCGGCAAAAGAAAATATCAATGTGAAAGCTGTGTTTGAGCGATTGGTGGACATCATTTGTGAGAAGATGTCTGAAAGTCTGGATACGGATCCAACTCTTGTGAACAGCCAGACTAAGGGAACTCGTCTGACAGAGAACCCCAACCCGCAGAATGGTAGCTGTCAGTGTTAGAAGTCCCCCTCCCACTTTCTCTTCCCTCTTCTGCTACTAATTCTTCCTTCTTTTTCCTCCTCCCCCTCCTCCTTCTTTTCCCTCCTTCTCCTCCTCTGGCTGAAGTATAGCAGGAGTAGTGGGTGCCTCTAGAGTCACCTAGGACCAGTCTGATGCATCAGGGGGAAGTAACTCCATCTTGGAGGTTGTGCAGTTGTGAAAGTATCAATAAAAAAAAAGAAAAAGCAGAATCAAGAAAAAAAAATAAGAAAAAAGTGCTGAAGCTCCTTAATCTTTGAATCTTTACTGCTGCCAACAGTTGTTGTTGTTGTTGTTACATGAAATGTTATTTCCACAAACTGTTGTTGTTGTTCATTTGAGGAAGGGGTCTAGATTAGATAGAAACATGACTACTTGTATGATTATTTTACATGGGACCAACAAAAACAAAAAAATTATTTCCATAAAATAAATACTGATAAAGAATCCCCCAAGACTCTCTTTTGTTTGCTATTGTCAAAAATCCACAAAAGCTTTTAGGACTTTTTGTTGCTTCTTTTTTTTTTGTTTGTTTGTCATCTTTTTCTCTGGTTTGATGATTACAACACCAATCATAGTGATGTTTATATAAAGCCATGATAATTTTAAAAAAGAAAAAAAAAAGAAAAAAACAATAAATAAATAAAAAAAAGCTAATGTGTCTTTAGAGTTCTTTTCCAGTCAATGAAGAACTATTCAGTTGTAAAGGTTTCTCTTCCCTTACCACCCAGTTACCTGACTAAAAAAAAAGACTTGTCCCTTCATTCCTGGCTGCAACTGGGGTATAAACATATCTAACATTATTCCCTACATTCACTTCGTAGGCATTTTTTAATAACTTTGCTGACCCACACCCATTACTGGGGATAGCTCTCCATTTCTCACATACACGAATGGTTATCAAAGTATAAAATTGTTGCCATTCTTTTATTGTACAGATTTGATAACTAGCTATGAAATTTGCCCCTGACCTTAGGCCTTACTCTCCTTGTATAGCCAAATTTTTGTATATATATATATATATATATATATATATATATATATATTCACACAAACAAAAAACAAATACAAAAAAAGTCACCCTACTTAGATAAAAACACAACTAGACCTCATGTTTCTAGCTAAAAATGTTTATCCCTCCTCATTTCTGCACCCTGACCTGGGGCCCCCAATTAGTTGTGGCACTGACCTTTAGCCTTTTGATCCTACCAGTGTCACTCTTCCCACCCCTGCCTTACCTCCAACCAGCACCTTCCCCTCTCTCTGCTCCATGCCAGATGGACAGCTGCTAAAACTTCTAGAGTCTCTTCTTCTCTTCGTCCTCCTTCTCCCCCCCTTACTACTATACTACTGACATATTCTAATTGTACAGTCATGCACTTTACTACTACTACTACCTACTACTACTACTACTACTTATGACATATGTTTGCTCTCTGCTATTTGCCGTAACTTCCATCAAATCATATTACTACACTTGTTATCAATCAGAAATGATGTGTTAAATAGTGGATATACCGAATACAGTGAACCGTTTCTGAAATTCTTTTATCTCAGATCCATCTATAAAATTTCCACCAGTTTAACCGTTTATATTTTTTTTTCTCTTTTTATGATGTTGATTGCCAGCAGTTGCCTCCTCATGCTGCCAAAAGAGAGAGAAAAGCAATATTTCCTCTTTTTTTTTCTTCTTCTTTTGCCCAAGGCCTTTTTATTTTCTCCTTTTTTATTTTTTTTTCTGTTTCCATATCTTGACCAGCATGCAAGAATAAAGTGGTCATGTTTCTTTGTGTATCTCCAAGAATGACATGCCTGTAGAAATGTCTACACAAACACATACACTCATACACACACTCTCTCTTACATAAATGCATACATGAGTATGTAGTATGTATGATAAAAGGAATCCATTGACCTTAATTTGTTGTTTTTTTTTTCATTATTAATATTATTATTATATTTGAAATCTTTATTTTATGAACTTGCAAAGAAACATTTTAACTTATTTCCCTTCGAGCCCTGCTCACTTTTAAAACTTTTTGATTTTCACTTGTTCTCATTCATAATTCCAAATTCCTTCTTGTTATTGGCTAATTTTTTTTTTATTTTCTTCTCCTGACACAAATTATTTCTGTTATTTGTTTGTTTCTCTGGACGAAGCAATGATGTGTGGAAATTCTATAAGTGGAGTATAGTCCGATGTTTTGTGCAATCCACGCCAGCCAGTGAGCCCGATGGCTGCTCAGTGTGCCTCCATCGTGCCTGCTGCTGCTGTGTCGATGAAGACAGCTGACCCTTGGGGTTTGCCTTTTAGATGGTTGTTTTCAAAGTCTCTCATGTTTATTGGTATTTACCTCTTCATTGTTAAAAATGTGTCATGAACTTTGTCAGCTAAGACTGAGTTTAGGAATGGGGGAAGCTGTGATTCCATCTGTGACGGCTGTAATGACAATGACGACAAGCTGTTTTCCACTGGCCATTTATATACACACACCTATGAACTGACCACGAATATAAAAGACATCATTATTTAAACAGAGGAGGATTACATCCTCATAGATAATATACAATTCTATTTAGTTAAAAAATTGTAAACCAAACAAGGAATATAGGTAAACAGGTGCATGTACACCCCCTTGTGTAGACAGGTATTCTCATGGCCCTGTTTACCAACTGAGGCTGAGGAGGCAGCTTTAATAGGAAGATCTAATTCCTTGAATGCAATGAGCAGAATGTCTTCAGCTGCTCAAGCCATTCTTTGGCCTTGGCTTGTCTTGTCTTTTCAGAATGGCAGCAGCAGACGCTTTCCTGAAGGCATGATTCACATCTTGGTACCCATCAATCTGGGCAGGTGACAAGAGAAACATTTTCAATGAACAATCATGTTGGTGAGTCACGTGACCAGTCTAGAGTAGTCAAATCAATAAAAGTGACAGTCTATTTGCAAATTAACATTTTTAGCCTTTGTGGTTATTGGAAAAAAAAAAAAGAATCCTTATGGATAGGAATTTTTTCACATCTGCTGGCATCTAATTGGCTTTCGTTTCCAAATATTCAACTGGGGAAATTTCCGAGGGTGTGAATTACAGCAGCATTCTCTTTTGCCATAAATAATGCCCTTTCATTCGCAAGTGACCTCAACTTGAAATCCTACTTGCCAAAACCAACAATAGAAGTACTCCTTGGCAACCCACAATCCCTACCTGCTTTTCTTTCTCATTCAGAAGTTCTCTTCTTAGATTTTAAATTTAGGGATTTGTTTTTGGTTGTGTTGAAGGTGTTTTTGTTGATGGTAGTGGTGGCAGCCTCCTCTTCCCAGTTAGTATCACAACAGTGTGTGTGTCTGTGTGTGTGCATGTAGATTTGGGTGTCATAGACTAGCTGTATTTACCTAGCAAATTGAAGTGCAATTCTTCCTTCAGCCTCAATGTCCACTTCTGCCACCTTTTTTGTTGACTCCCTGTAGGTTTTCTTTAACTGCCCAGTTGTGTGTGAGCACACTCAATTGGCCCAACCCATTGGTCAGTTTGTCAAACAGCCAGTCAGTCAGTCAGCCAGCCACTTGGTATCCCTTTATTGCAGCTCCCATAATTCTCCATAATCTATGTACTTAGAGATCATGATCTGTCTTAGCAGACAGTGCAATAAAGCTGTTCAGTAACTGACAACGTCTTTTGTTTTTTATTTCTTTCTTTTTGCAGGTTTCTCTTAATTCTCTCTCCTTTATTTACTCCTTCCCTTTATATCTCCTTATTGCCTACTCTCTATTATTTTCTTTCCCTCTACTTCCCTTTGAATTTCCGATTTTGATTCCTACCGATTATGAACACAACAAAAATAACACAATGCTTCTATTGGCTAATCATATAGGATGCAAAAGAAATAACTCCACCTCAAAAGATACACCTAGATTCCAAACATGTATACATGTAATGGCACATTCTGTAAGGTCAGTATATATATATATATATATATATATATGAAGCATTGATTGTAATTTTATCATTCTGACTCAACCTACCAGCTGTTACCTAAAGTTGCTTGTTTATCTACAGCCTTGCTTTTATATTGGCCTCTTTTACTTCCTGCCAGAGAAGTGTCAACTTTTATTGAACGAAATGTTTTTGTCCTCGAAATCTTGAAGAATAATGTAACCTCTAAACCGGGTTCTCTTGCTTCTTTTCCACCAAAATCAAAATGAAACATCTTTGTAAAAACCCATATGTAAAACTGGTCCATTTTTCTTTTACTAAAATGATGCCCAACCATTTTGAAAAAATTTTTCACATGATATTGGCAAATTGTTGAACTTTTCTTGTAAGATAGAAAGGACTGATGACAGTCTAGATCTACAGTGCAATCCTGATTGCAGGGGAAATTTTTCTTTTTTTACTGTAGTCAACAATTTCAAAATAGATTTTGATAAAAATGATTGGAATTTTTCAATAATTGATCCTGTTTATTGCAAAAAGATTCTTGATGCCAAACAAGAAATTAATTCAATATTTGAGTTTAGCTTGCCAATTTCTAAAAGTCCAACCAGGAATTTTCATCTTGAAACTTCTTTCATCAAATTATTATTTTCCAATTGATCCATTGCTTAACAACACATTAAGCTGTTCAAGTTCTTTCCTAATAATATTTGATGCAATGTCATGACCTTTGACACACAATGTAATGACCTTTGTGCAAAACATACAGTGGAAAATAGATAAATCTTCTCTTTAGTCATTGGAATGTCTAAAAACTGTTTTAGAGGCACAGGTCACAAGTAAAAAGCCAGTTTCACATGATAGCTTTCTCAAAATAGGCATGGACATGTCGCTTGGAAAATTGGTGCAATACAATTTTTTTGCTGCTATTCACACAGTTTTAACTACACTAATCTTAACAACATATTAAGCTGTTAAAAGGTCTTTCCTAATAATATTTGACAGTCTGGTGGCACAATCATTAATGTTTTAGAATGAGAAATCCATGAGCTGAGTTCAAATTCCAGTTGAGTTCATTACATTTACTTTCATACAAATACTCTTAGAAAAGGAATGAATCCATCTCTTCTACCTCCAGCTATGGGTTAAAATAGTAGGCAAACTGGGCTCTTCAGCTTTGGTTGGCAGCCAGTCTGAGAGAATGAAAACTCTGAATTCTTAAATCCAGGTAGATAGAAATAATTAATGTGAGAACATATGGTTGTCTAAGGGAATGAAACCATCAACAGAATTCTTCCTAAGTTTACAAAGGTTGGACTTGGGGCCAATTGCCCCACTCCAGGGAACAATTAGATTCTAGAAACTTCCCCACAGGCTTAATGTGTCATAGGGCACCATGCAGTAAATATCTATACTGTTTCCGCACTTTAATAAGATGATGCAGTTAAATCAATTTCACAAACAAGATTAAGCATTAGATGTGTGCAAAAGTTTCCAGCAAAAAAATGTGTTCAATTGTATATTCAGTCTGTGTAGTTTACCAAAGAGAATGCTGTGAATTATTGCTTTCACTTAATGAAACATCATTGTTTTTATGCAAAATTGGCAGCATTTTCACTTTGTTTTAATCCTCTCTTGATAATTTTTTACATCTTTGATAGCAAAAAATCAAGTTTACTTGAGAGTGTTTGTAGTTTTTTTTTTAATCACTTTATGCAGAACCACATTTTAATAGACAGAGATAAAAAAAAAAAAAAACGTTAACAAAATGTCACCAAGCAATGATCTAAATGAATTTACAAATTCATTGTTTGATTGTAAAGTAGGTCATTTTATACAAAGTTAAAACATAGCATCAGCTGTGAAGGTCATGTTTAGAATTCTGAACACCAGTTTTCTGTCAGGATATTAAAAGGTTAACCTTGAAACTCCATTTATTTGATACTAAAAATGGAACAAAATTAAGTGGATATGTATTTTCAGTGTTTTTCGCTTTTGGGAAAGAATATTGTGGCTCAAATAATAAAGATGCCAAGTCTGCTAACTTTTCATCTTGAGATATGATTCTCCCTTCATTCAAAATGATCTATTGTAATAAATATAGAAAAGAGCATTTTTAATCGAAAGAAAATAAGATGCTGTCGTTATTGTTCATAACTGAGAATAAACTTATAAATTTATAAGTGGCAAAAATAGGTACACAAAATAACAGTCTTGAGAAATTAACTTATGTAGGACTTAATATTATAAAGTGGCAGGTTCAATCCTTACTATTGCTCTGGCACAGTTTATCTCATTTCCTCTTTTCATTTGAACCTTGTAGCCATAGATACTTATAATAATAATTTCCATTGAAATAGACCTCCTTCTGCTAAAGGGAACATCCATAACATCTTATTTCATTTACTACATTGATTACTCC